ATTGAACTGTTAATGACTGTGTCCTATGATATAAAACTGAAGGGGAAGAATATTGAACTGTTAATGACTGTGTTCTATGATATAAAACTGAAGGGGAAGAATATTGAACTGTTAATGACTGTGTTCTATGATATAAAACTGAAGGGGAAGAATATTGAACTGTTAATGACTGTGTTCTATGATATAAAACTGAAGGGGAAGAATATTGAACTGTTAATGACTGTGTTCTATGATATAAAACTGAAGGGGAAGAATATTGAACTGTTAATGACTGTGACCTATGATATAAAACTGAAGGGGAAGAATATTGAACTGTTAATGACTGTGTTCTATGATATAAAACTGAAGGGGAAGAATATTGAACTGTTAATGACTGTCTCCTATGATATAAAACTGAAGGGGAAGAATATTGAACTGTTAATGACTGTGTTCTATGATATAAAACTGAAGGGGAAGAATATTGAACTGTTAATGACTGTGTTCTATGATATAAAACTGAAGGGGAAGAATATTGAACTGTTAATGACTGTGTTCTATGATATAAAACTGAAGGGGAAGAATATTGAACTGTTAATGACTGTGTTCTATGATATAAAACTGAAGGGGAAGAATATTGAACTGTTAATGACTGTGTTCTATGATATAAAACTGAAGGGGAAGAATATTGAACTGTTAATGACTGTGTTCTATGATATAAAACTGAAGGGGAAGAATATTGAACTGTTAATGACTGTGTTCTATGATATAAAACTGAAGGGGAAGAATATTGAACTGTTAATGACTGTGTTCTATGATATAAAACTGAAGGGGAAGAATATTGAACTGTTAATGACTGTGACCTATGATATAAAACTGAAGGGGAAGAATATTGAACTGTTAATGACTGTGTTCTATGATATAAAACTGAAGGGGAAGAATATTGAACTGTTAATGACTGTGTTCTATGATATAAAACTGAAGGGGAAGAATATTGAACTGTTAATGACTGTGACCTATGATATAAAACTGAAGGGGAAGAATATTGAACTGTTAATGACTGTGACCTATGATATAAAACTGAAGGGGAAGAATATTGAACTGTTAATGACTGTGTTCTATGATATAAAACTGAAGTTGTTTGTGTTTTAGGCTTGTAGTCAGGGCAATTCCCAGCTTAGGATTAAACACCCCAGCTTAGGATTCAACACCAAAGCTTAGGATTCAACACCCAAGCTTAGGATTCAACACCCAAGCTTAGGATTCAACACCCAAGCTTAGGATTAAACACCCTCTTAAGATTGAACACTTCAGCTTAGTATTAAACACCCAAGCTTAGGATTCAACACCCAAGCTTAGGATTAAACACCCAAGCTTAGGATTCAACACCCAAGCTTAGGATTAAACACCCTCTTAACATTGAACACTTCAGCTTAGGATTAAACACCCAAGCTTTGGATTAAACACCCAAGCTTAGGATTAAACACCCTCTTAAGATTGAACACTTCAGCTTAGGATTAAACACCCAAGTTTAGGATTAAACACCCAAGGTTAGGATTAAACACCCTCTTAAGATTGAACACTTCAGCTTAGGATTGAACACTTCAGCTTAGGATTGAACACCTCAGCTTAGGATTGAATACCCAAGCTTAAAATTCAACACCCTCTCAGGATTAAACAACCCTAATATAGGATTAGACAACCCCCTAGCTTAAAACTAAACCCCATCTTAGGATTACACACCCCAACTTAGGATTCAATAACCCTCAGCTTAGGTCTAAACATCCCCAGCTTATCCACGAGGACTGTAGCTAGCCCACCTACAATCCTCCAGCAAGCATCTGCCCCTTCACAACAAGTTCTACAGCGCCATGTCTTAGTTATTCATTCTTCCAAGCCACCAAGAATCTACTACTTATTCTTACACTCCAATATTTACCAATGATTATGAATGGACTTCTAAAAAATTTAAGGCAACTGCGGTCTCCATTGCAATTCGTGTTAGACATGTTGGTGTTTGCGTTATTTACAGTGCTGGTGGCGTTGGGTGGAGAGTTGGAGCAGTTTGGGGGGGGCGCTGTAGTGGACGTAGTAGCGGGGGTGTGGCAAGAGGACGTAGAAACTGGGGAGGAAGAATCCGATACATCCCTCTACGATGCAGCGTGGGAGAGGACAGAACGAGGAATAGCGGTTAAAGAACATGATAATTTACAGGGATTCTCTAAATGCCAATGATATTACAAAAAAAAAAAATCACCTAAGATAATAAATAACACACTTACCAAAGATATTAAATATACGACGAATACTTCATATCACCCGGAAGATGATAACAATAATAATAATAAAGAAACATTAGTAAAAGTGTAATTAACAAACCTTTCAAAACACAAGGCATCATATCATCTAAGTGAGGGGGGGGGAAAAATGAGATATTAAATCACGATCCCTTAGACAAGACAAGACAATCCTCATCTACAGAAAGTGTGTGTATATACTGTAGTGCGTCTTTCCCTAAATACTGTAGAAATATGTGCATGGTGCAGCAGAAGCATTCACGAGTCATGGAGCACTTAAATAGACCGACATTACGGGAGTATTTATGTTTCTTTTATCAATGGTTAAAATAAAATATAATAGTGTATCTCCTTAAGTTAATGGAGAGAGTTAATAGGTTTATGTGACAAAATGCTTTCGGGATTTGCGTAACCCTTTAATGATGATTTAACCCTTTGATGATGATTTAACCCTTTGATGATGCTGTTTTAACCCTTTGATGATGCTTTAACCCTTTGATGATGACGATTTAACCCTTTGATGATGCTGTTTTAACCCTTTGATGATGATGCTTTAACCCTTTGATGGCTATTTAACCCTTTGATGGCTATTTAACCATTTGATGGCTATTTAACCCTTTGATGGCTATTTAACCCTTTGATAGTTATTTAACCCTTCGGGACTCAAAGGATTACCATACTGGACATTTTATGGCAAAGGAACACCCCAATGCAAGATGATTTTATTCAGCTCAGAGGTGACCCCATACACAAGGGGTCATTCATATAACTCTAGGGGTCGCTATACAAACTGGTTGTAAATAATGAAACCAGTGTCCCCAATACTAGAGGTCCGTACGGCTAAAACCAGCGCAGGTTATACAACACACTATACACCATGTATTATTTTACATAGTAGAGTATGTATCAATCCCAACCAGTATGTACCAATGAGAAAATGGAAAACATAGCGACTGTACAGTATTTCATGAATAACTAAGATCATCAGACATCTTACATCAGTGACCCAAGGATGATCGAACCCCTAACATAACTCTAACGTAACCTAACCCAATGACCCAAGGATGAACGAACCTCTAACATAACCCTAACGTAACCTAACATAACCCTTACGTAACCCTAACCTATCCTCTACACAAGCAATCCCTTGATAGTGGTCCATTTCAGATTTTGACTTCAATATGAATAAACAAATCCCTCGAAAGCAACTATGGGGTCACATGGGGGGGGTTAGAGGTCACGTGATGTTGTTTTTCAAAGGTGTGTGTGTGTGTGTGTGTGTGTGTGTGTGTGTGTGTGTGTGTGTGTGTGTGTGTATGTGTGTGTGTGTGTGTGTGTGTGTGTGTGTTTTCTGCAAAGGATTAAAAAAATTTAGATCATGTCAAGTTAAATGTGTATGTATGTATGTATGTATGTATGTGTTTGCTTTACATTGACACACACACACACACACGACCCCATGACCAACATTAAAAAAAACAACAACAACACTCGCCACAAATTCTTATCAAAACAAAACCTCCAACAAAACACTCCATGACTGAGAGGTGAATGCAGGTGCTCACTACAATATATATATATATACATCATGCGGCCGTTAGTTTGTGAGATACCATAAAGAAGTGTAAGCAAGCCTCCCCTGCGCCCAAGACCCCGTGAGACATAGACATCCGTGGTTATGGCTTTTCACAATATTATTCGACTCCTTTCCATAGGGTGTTTGTCCCCCTCGGTTTTGTATCTGGGGGTCGGGTTTGTATGTCTGTTTCGGACTAAGCTTCCGTCTTGGGGTGCGTCTGTTGATCGATTCCCCCATTGACATCGGGTGTTAATAAAATATGGCGTGTGTTATTTGGCATTGTTCGAGAGGCCGATGACTCTGGCTAGATGAAGCCTTGGTTAACAGATCAACATTATAAATTGCTAAAAATCATTTGTTCCTTAATGCTTCGAACAAGATGGTTTACCACAACAAAAATACATGTCTGGGTGTACATAATGAAACCCCATGTACAGAACATCTTGGAATAATGTACACGCACAAATACACAGCCTTACAAATTTTCGGGGAGATCGATTGAATAATAAGAGTCGTCATTCCTTGGTGTGTGCCGTCAGGTGAGGACAATGTTACAGTGGTAGTAGAAATATTCAGACCATCTCCACGTAAAGGCTTTAAGTCAGGGTGTTTATATTCTTCTGAGATAATGTGAGTAATTCCTAAGTCAAGATTAATGAGAGAAAATTGTACATCGGGTTTCAATAGTCGTCGTCCAGATGAAACTAACAATTGATCATATACCCTGGCAGGTGAGGCACAATATAACCCCCCCCCTCCCCCACCCAAAATAAAACATGAAGATTATGTTGTGGGTAAACCATCTTGTTTGTAATGATATGGCAGATCATTACTGGCGAGACAATATTTATCACCCTCAACGCTGCAGCACAACAGCGTCTCATCAATAGTCCCGTGGGTCGGCCTCGGGTCAAGCTAAGATACCATTACACACTGCACACTCTCTTTACTCTATTAGATTATTTTAATGTTCCAACACAAAACTCTACTGTACTGTACCTGTTAAACAAATCTTTATAAATTTGGGTAATTGATTTCAAAGTGAGATCCAGTCGTACTTTGTTAGTTTACAGTGTTAGCAGAGAGGACCAACACACACAGAGGTAACAGTGTCTTGGCCGCGCCCGGAGGAGAACAAAACAACATACCCTGCAGTGCGTGTGACGACCCTCTCTTGGTGATGTGGCTGACAAAAGTCTTGAACGCTCCTTTGCTGTTTGGACTAGTTACGTTGGCCGGCGTGGCTACGAGGTGGCCGGGAGTCTGAACGGGGGTGACGTCCGAACCCTGGGCCTTGTGAGAGTGTCTCCGGCGGTCGGAGGAACTCTCGTCCTTCTCTACGGGTGAATCCGACGGAGGTCCGGCGGTGCCCTGGGAGACGCTGGAGTCGTAGCTGTTGAGGGATCCCTTACTGCTCTTCTGTTTGGCCTCCGACAGTCGTACTTTACGCCTCGGCGGAGGGACTGGGTTGCCGTCCTTGTCGAAGAGTGCCAGAGCGGATTTTCGATCGGCTCCTTCCTCGGCGTTTTGTTCCATCACCCCGAGATCTTGTTGGATGATCTTGGCCTCGTCTATGGGGCTCGGTGTCGGTCTGGGACTGGTCTTTGGGGTTCCTCTGGGACTTATCCAGGGACTCACCGAGAGAATGCCGGACCTCTTATCTAAGGTGTCCCTCTCTTCACCTTCCTCGTAGTCCTCCCTCACCTCCTCCGCCTCTTCAGTATCGTCGTAGTCATCGGTTTTGTCGTCGGCCGTAGCTTCCATTTCTCTCTCCTTCACCTCCCCGTCGGGCCCGATGACGGCAATTTCATCCGCGTACAAGTCTGAATTGTTCTCTAGGGCGGCGGTCTGTTCCGAGGAGAACGCCTTCCTCAACCTGGCATCGAGCTTTGTCAGTTGTTCCTTCAGCCTGAAGCGAGAATGTCGCTTAGAATCGTTGTTGTTCGTCCTGCCGTCGTCAAACTCGACTCTGGACTGATGCTCGGGAGTGACGGATCTCGACCTCGGTTGGTCGACTCTCAACTCCAGGCCGACCGAGGGCTCGTCTCCGTCGTCGCCGAGACCTTCTTCCTCCGTCTCCGCCCGGCCGGTGCCCTCGCTCGCCTTCTTCACCATAAGAAACTCCCCCTCATCTCTCTCTTCCTTCTCACTCTCCATCCCTCTACTCTCCTTCCGTCCCAGGACCTTCATAAACTCCACCTTTGTTTCAGACTTCCCATCTGACATTCTCTTCTCATCCTTGATCTTATCCACTCCTTTACTCTCCTTCCTCAACAGTTTCTTAAGCATCTCTGAGTCTCCTTTACCCTTGCTGTCACTGCGAGAAACTGACCTCCTGGCCTCCTCCCTGGCCAAGGGGTCCGTCTCAGTCCTCTCGTGATGGAAATAAAATGTGGAGCCACCGACATCGATTATATCCTTGAAGGGGAGAAAGTTTGCACACTAACATGAGTACATCTATAACCCCTTGAGTACGACGTCATAACCCCCTTGAGTACGACGACATAACCCCATCGAGTACGTTATTAATTCTATTCAAATCGTAGCTCTTCGGACGGAAGTATTTTGGAGAGGTTGAGTCAACGTACTCGAGAGGTTAAGTCAACGTACTCGAGAGGTTAAGTCAACGTACTCAAGTGGTTGTGGCTGTACTCAAGTGGTTAAGCTGACAAGCACAGATGAAAGCACAGTTAGAATTATGAGAGTAACTCTACATAACCGTTGAAGCTTAATCTATCAGCTTAATCTATAAGCTTAATCTATAAGCTTAGTCTATCACCTTAATCTATAAGCCTAAAGCCTCCTCCATTATCTCATACATTTGCAGCATCAGTCAGCTCTATGAATGTTAACCCTGATTGCCACCTAAGACTTCAATTATGGAACCTTTGAACACAACCTAACCTAACCTACAAATAAGTGATATATGAACATTATACAGATAAGCTTAGAAGATTAAGCTTACCTATCACATTCTAAACAGTCGTACTAAAACCACTAAACCAGACCACTCTGCTCCACTGTACAATACTATAACAAACTATTAACTACTTAATTACCTTACAATAAAACTCAAATACAGTTAAACCTCTATTTAACGAACTATATAGAGATAAAAGTCCATTATATTGAGGTTTAACTGTATCTCACATAATATTCCTGATATAGCAATAAATTTTATGGCCTAATTTTATTAACTATAATTTCAATATAAGATTTACTCAATGGGCTACTTTACAAATTATTTTTCTATGGTATAATGTAGCTGACCCTCTTGTTAATTAGGTTAGGTCAGGTCAGGTCAGAGGTTAAAAGTTATTATGATGTGTGTGTGTGTGTGTAATGTGATGCGTCTCGTATAGTAGCACTAAGATAGTGTTGAGGTGCACGGCTCTGCTTGTTATCTCTCGCTTTCAGCTATTGCCACTGACAAGTGCTTGTGGTGAACGGGACAGCAGCTCCGAGTCAGTCTTCTCCTGCCAGTACACAGCCTCTCCATTGCAAAGACTCCTACTGAGCCTCCTCGTGGCAGCACACGGTAACTGGTTGTCTAGCGACCCAGGCTAATACAGTAGGGGATCTCGGAGCAACAGGGGGCCCCAGAGGTGCGGTGTGCTGGCCCACTGGCGTGTGGACAAGTCCTGGCACCCACCAACCCGTCCCACTGTCTTGTGGGTTAACTGGTAAAGTGCAAGACTACGGGAGTCAACCCCTAACGAAAAAACTGTGTTTGGAGTCACGCAATAGGCGAAGCGCAATAAACCGCATTCTCGGCAGACTCCTGCGACCCCGCTCAGCAGTCGGTCGTCATGGGTCTCCTATGCCACCGACAGTTGCTGGGGGAGGTCAAGGTAGTGGGAATGGTGTTTGCGCTCCATCATCCCCACTCAAAATCCACTCATTGCGCAGGCCCTTTGCTCCAACCACCCTCATCATCTCATCATCATCATCTCGAAAAGACCTATGACGATGGGAACGAGTGGGGGCACAGGTCAAGGGTGTGACTGGAAGTGTTTAGCTCCGACCTGCACGTAGGCGGTGGTGGAGTGATGGTCGCTGAGACATGGGACAGGGCAGTGTGTCTCTTCGGCAGCTTCCATCATGACAAGCGGATCCCAACTGCTTCCTAACGGAGGGACCTCGAAAAGGTGGTCCCAAACAAATGCTGTCTGACTTGTTGGGGTGGCCCGCTGCAGCCGTCGAGTCATCCCATAATGCAGTCGAAACGATCAAAATAATCAGATTAAGAAAGAACTTAATATTGCTACCTGGAATGTCAGAACCTTATTGGACGGAGGGGAGATAGAAAGACCAAGGAGAAGAACTGCCCTGGTCGCTAATGAACTCAAGAGATATAACATAGATATTGCTGCTCTTAGTGAAACCCGACTGAGTGGGGAGGACTCGCTGACGGAAGTGGGTGAGGGCTACATCTTTTTTCTGGTGGGGGCTCCCAGAAGACACGCGCCGTGACTATGGGGTGCGTTTCTCTGTCAAAACATCACCCCTTTGCCACATCCCTGAGACGCCTGCTGGAATAAACGAAAGGCTCATGACATGGCGCATCCCTCTGGTCAAAGGTCGACCATCTTCAGCTCTTATGCACTGACTCTTGATGCTAATGAAGAAACAAAAGACCGCTTCTATGGTATATTGGAAACTGCTCTTACGAATGCACCACCAACTGACAAAATTCTTCTTTTAGAGGATTTCAATGCTAAAGTTGGCTCAAATTATGAAACATGGGACAAAGTTCTGGGCAAGCATGGAGTAGGGAAGATGAACAACAACGTACTCCGACTCCTTACACTGTGGTCAGAATACAATCTTACGATCACTAACACCTGGTTCAAGATGAAAACCAAATACAATACCTCATGAAAACATCCTCGATCAAACCACTGGCACCTCCTTGACTATGTTATTAGTAGCCAAGATGACCTAAAGGAGGTGCAAATCACATGAGCCACGAGGGGGTGCAGACTGTGGCATGGGCAATAGGCTAATAAGATTCAGGATTTGCATAATTCGACCCCAACACCTGAGGCAAGGCCCCAGTCATAAACTTCACATCAAAACCCTCAGTAATCCTGAATCCTCTAACTCATTAAAAAACAAGATCACCAAAAAACTCCCAGCTCATGAAATTATGGAACCTGGCACTGTGGAAGATGGCTGGAAAGAGTTGAATACTGCAATGAGTGAAGCTGTAATGGAAACACTTGGCTTTTCTAAAAACCGACATGAGGACTGGTCTGATGAGAACTCACCTACCATCCATGATCTTCTCAAAACCAAAAAAATAGCCCACGATGTAGTGCTATCAAATCCTTAATCACAAACACTGAGGGACAGGTTAACCAACATCAGGTCAGAAACACAAAGACTGTTACGCATCATGGAAAATGACTGCTGGGTAAAAAAAGCACAAGAAATTCAAGCCTTTGCTGATGTCAATAACACATACGGCTTCTATGAGGCAGTTAAGTCCATTTATGGTCCACAAAGAAGAAATATCACGCCAGTAAGATCTTTAGATGGCACCACACTCTACAAAAGCAATAAATGATTGCAGTAAGATGGGCTGAGCACTTCAGCACACTTCTAAATCAAATCAATCCAATAACACCTACAGCACAGGATAACATCCCACCCATGCCGACCCTGCACCTCCTGGATGAAGCCCCACTCCTACAAGAAGTAGACACTGCAATACGAGGGCTCAGCAACAACAAGAGCCCTGGACCTGACGGCATTACTGCTGAAATCTACAAACATGGAGGTCCCCATCTGACTGAACGCCTCCATAGCCTCTTACTCACCCTATAGGCCACAGAGACCATCCCCCAGGATTGGAAAGATGCAAATATCATAACAATCTATAAGAATAAAGGTGACAAAGCAATCTGTGGTAACAGCAGGGTCATCTCCCTCATTGTAGTTGCTGGCAAGATCCTGTCAAAAGTCATGTTATCAAGACTTATCCAACACCTAACAGAGAACACTCTTCCTGAATCCCAATGTGGATTTAGGAAGGATCGCAGTACAATGGACATGATCTTTGTAGCTAGGCAAATTTAATTAAGGAGTCGAGAGCTAGACCTTTACACCACCTTCATTGACCTCTCCAAGGCTTTCGACACAGTAAACGGAGAACTGTTATGGACTATGGTGGAGAGGGTCGGTGTACCACCAAGGTTTTTAAACATCCTCCGCCAGACGCATGATGGAATGCAAGCCCGGGTACTTGTGGGTGGTGTGTGGTCAGAACCATTTAGTGTCCTAATGGTCGTAAAACAGGGCTGTGTGCTGGCACCTGCGTTGTTTAACATCTTTTTGCTGGCTGTAACACAACTCTCACACAATGCCCTTGGGCCTGATGCAGGTGTGGGCATACGGTACCGTCTCGACGGTAGCCTTTTAATATTAGACGTCTGGAAGCCTACAGTATGCAGATGACTGTGCAGTAATGACAACAGAGAATCTATGCAACATGCACTGGACCTGATCTCTGGTATTTACAGCTCGCTTGGTTTGCAAATTAACACCCAGAAGACTGAGACTTTTGTCCAGCCCATTGTTACACCAATAGAAGCATCACAATTCTACATAATTGGAGATCCTATCAAAATAGTAAACCAGTTTAAGTACCTTGGTAGCACTCTCACACCCACTTGCTCCCTGGATATGGAAATTCAAACCAGAATCAATTTGGCCTCAGCTGCATTTGGACGTCTGACAACAAGAGTCTTTCTCAACAATGACCTCAAATATGGAACGAAGACTGCAGTTTATCTCGCGGTCTGTATATCTACATTATTATATGCCTCAGAAACCTGGACGCCCTACAAACGCCATATCCAAATGCTGGTAAACTTCCACACTAGATGCCTTCAGCGTATCTTTGGAATATCCTGGGGAGATAGAGTGACTCGTGAAGAACTATATCGTCGCTCACACACGACCATTGAACCATACTAGCCAAAAGACACTTGTGCTGGCTTGGACATGTTATCAGGATGCCAGACCACCGGTTCCCAGGACAAATATTATATGGCAAGCTCTCACATGGAAACCGGTCGGCGGGAGGGCAGAAAAAGAGATATAACGACCACTCTAAAACTCTACTCAAGTGCTGTAACATCCAACCAATTTCACTGGAGTAACTAGCCTCAGACTGTTCCTTATGGCGCTCAACATGCCATAGAGGAGCGGAAACACCTGAGACCTCACTGAACCAAAAGAGAGCTACTAAACGAGCCCAACGACATCAGAGGCTCAAGGCATAATTCCTCTCAGTGAACAACATCTCCATCACCTATACAACAAGATCTGCGCCTCCAGGATTGGACTCCATGGTCATCTACGGTGGCATCAGAGGAATAACACATAACTCATCAATCATCTGGAGCAACGTC